TTTCCTACAACCCAGAAAGCAGTGAGAGGTGAATAAACTTTAGCAAGAACCAACGCGTTTCAGAACATAAGTCTTTCTTCAGGGGTATACTGAAGGGAAAAGATGGCCATAAAAACATTCTACTGTAGTAAATATGAATCAGAATTAGAAATACATAACAAAGGAAATACAATCAGGAACATATGTAAATCTACAGCCTACATACCATCTAATTTTCTTCTGGAATGTTATAGTTGCACAAAGAAAGGCATAAGACAGTCTTTTTCTGATATGCTCACCGGTGGCACCCTGGTGCACCAAGGGATGGATGGTAAAGGGGAACTCAAAAGAAGGGGGAGAATGACAACCAATCCCCAACGTGGGTGATCCTCTTACACAGATATTGCCTGAAAGGACAATGGACCCAGTTACGTGGATGCAAGAGGTCAAGAAAGAGCCTATAAAATTACAATATGAAGCCATTACTTTACTGTCTGTCCTCAAGAAGACAGCAAAATAAATTAAAATAATAAATAGCAACATTGTTACAATAGGTGTCTGAAATTAGTCTACTACAAACCAATGGCGTATAAACATATGAAACGTGTGTATCACAATAATGTATATATTCCACAGTAGCCTGGGACTATCTTCACTAAGTATTATGCGGACTCTTCAGATCCTCTCAGGGGGCTATTCAAGATATTAAATGAACTTCATGTTGTATAGTAGATATGTATACTAGTAATAAAGAGAGCCTAAACTGCTGTGAATAAGTGCAAATCTGCAAGCCAATGGCCTCGGGCTCTCTATAAATGATATGTATCAACAATATAAGTTAAATAGGGATCTAAGGGATTAGCTGTATAGGTTGAGTGTCACGTAACAAGTGACCAAAGGAATAATCCACTCCCCACTAATAGGAACCTCCCAAGAGGATTTGTGGAAGAATGTAGGGCCAAAAAAAAGGAGTAAATAGTTGTTGTTTACCTGAATTCCCCAATATTTCTTTGCGAGCGAGCACCTCCAGTTATTAGTGAAACGTTTTCATCTTTGAGGGTTTCCACTTCCTCCAGGTGCAGGGCGTGGCCATGAGGACCTGTTGTGCCTCATCCTATGCCAATCTGTACCCGGGGGAGTTAGAAGTTTATTCACCTCTCACTGCCTTCTGGGTTGTAGGAGAAGGTGCAACACTACATCTCAGCTCATAGCAAGTCATATAGACAGTTCTTTTTAAATGTTATGTATGTTTTTAACATGTGTGTTATATGTTAAATTATGTCTCTTTATTTTTGGAATAAAATGATTTATATAATTTAATTATCTGTTTTGGGTTGGCCAATTTAAATTGTTGGGGAACACACCTTTGGCTATACCTCTCAGTTAAAATAAATAAAATTATCATTAATATCACCATAACCCTAATTTAAGTGTTTATTACTAGCTGTGAGTATTTTTTCTTGTGTTTTACTTTTTCTCATTAAGTTACACATGGCATTTACCACTGTCATTGTATAACAAACACAACTAACAGGCATTGTGAGAGTCAGTTTTGATGCTGTTGGTGACTGAAGGTCAATATTGAGGGCTGAAATTATATGTTAAGGTAGAAAGTTAAGAGAAGCAGGGTGTCACTGTAATAGTGAAGTTATGCTTCACCAGGCAAATAAAGACCCTAAACACACCTGAGGTGTGGAATCCAAGAAGCTGCCTGGTGTTCACTAGAACAACCCCCAATGAGTAATTGGTTTTGGTGTACCCTAGGTTTGTCCTCCAGATTGAGGTCCTTGGGTATACCCAGACTGGTAACAGTTAACAGGTGGCAGAAATTGCTGGACAAGATTGAGATAAACAAATCAGAGGTCAGGACATGCAGATAACACAGATCCCAGAAAACCAGGTCTAGGTCATAGATGGGTTACAGAGGTCACAGGAACAGGAGACTAGGAATAAAACTCCCATTGCAGTGAGTTAAAGTGAAACTTTGTCCTAAATTGAGAAACTTGTGAGTAGGAAAGATTGTTATTGTAGAGAAGACATTTTTTCCTTCTTATATGCATGTGCTTTTCAGTGTACATTCTTGGCACACCTCAGTGGAGGGATAAATTAACTCCATGCCAGTTAAGATGGTCCAAAGAACCTGAACCCAGAAGAAGATGGGAAGAAGATGCCAGCACTGGTGAGAGAGCTTTCTGATATCATAGATGTGGAGGAGAGGTGAGTATTGAAGATTTTAGTTCCACTTCCAATAACTTTCCTGGACATGATAGCAGCATAAATGCACTTTAGCACTTTTCAATAGGAAGCAGCAGGGGGGACATGAGAATGCCTAAGCACAAGAACCGAGTACCCTTTGGCACAGGCTTTCTATGAGAAGGAATATCATGAACGAGAACAACCAGGAATGCCTGTATGCTTGATACAGCTCAAGAGAAAAACAGCAGACTGATTTTGCAGAGACTCATTTGCAAAGGAAACAGCTGTGGAGAGCAGCACAGATCAGTTGTGAAGACAGTGTACTGTAACCCAGGGATAGTATCCTGCTTGTTCTGTGCAGAGTACAACAACCCTGAAAGCTGAAAATATCTATCTGCTAATGGCTTTCTTTCAAAATTACCAGCATTTAGATGGCAAAATGATTTTTTGTTCAGGATGACTTGCACAACACGTTTGTTTTCTTAGTAAATCGGACATTGGGCCCAATTAACTATATATGGTGCAGTGCGCTATATTTGTGCACACAAACATGCACATAGTGCATACTGCACATTGATGGCACACACCTGGAGTGCTGCTATTACAGGGAACGATACAGCAGGCTAAAGCAGCTCATACTATCCCTTCTCCTTCTTCAGAAAATGATTACAGGGGGAGAGAGAAGTGGAGCCAGTGGAGCAGCACAGAGTTGCCCTCTACCCAGGGGTGGACTGACAACTCATGGGGCCCCCGGGCAATAGGAAGTCATGGGGCCCCTTTGTCCTCACCCACACTCAAACCACACCCAAAAAAGACTATGAAAGGTACCAGGGGCATCTCATGGGGCCCCCAACTGACCCCGGGCCCTCGGGCAGTGGCCAAGCGGCTAAATGGTCAGTCCGCCCCTGCCTCTACCTGTTCCTTCTAGCGAGTGTCTGCTTGGACACTGATCAAAGGGAATCTGCTGGCTGCCTCCTCCCCTCTGTTCAGCTAGGCAGAGGAAGAAGGGAGAGAGAGGCAGCTTCTCCAAGCTAAGCCTTCCTCCAGTAAGCATCTGACATGTAGCTCTATGCTTGGTCAGGCCAGGCAGAGATTTGAGGTTAATATCTTTGCCACAATTAAAGAATAGAAACTGCAACAAATTGCAATTTGTACAAATATATGTTGCGCTCCTAAATACTTCTCAATAAATAATAATTAAATTATTAACATTAAATTAATTCAAATTATGATACAAATAACTAATAAAAGTGTATACATACCAAAGAATATTTAAATAGATAATTTCAGCTAATCAATCTCCTCCAAATAAATATCAAAATAATTCCACATGAAATACTCCTCTAAAAAAATATTTTGCCAAGTGCTCATAAATCATCTATTAGTGACATGATGTACTTACTAATACCCTCAATTTCATTTATATTCATAATACCCTCATTTAATATAATAAAAATAGTGAACCAACTAATAACCCTCAACTAAAACGCATTTAAATGATCCCCCATAAATAAAAATAACCAAATGCTCATAAATAATTAGTAGTGATTAGTATGAATCCAAATATCATCAATATAATAGTCCCATTGAATAAACAATTGTTTATATATAGTGACTTGGTGCTTGTTGTTTTCAATTTGTGACTTTTGTGAATCCTTCAAATAGTGAAGATGTGCGCTCACCTCCTTTGATGCCTGCAATTAGGCTATACACGCTTTCGGTTCACTTTCCCTGGAACCTGCTGGACATATACTTTTGCTGGTAAAATTGGGAGATCCTTCCTTTAGGAGTAATGGATGTATCCTCTGGTGGCTGATTATCCCCTCAGGGATTACACACTCCTTTTGTTATCTCAGACCTCCTAATTATCCTCTCCTTGTGTTACTCCGCATGCAGGAAGAAATAGAGGACATAGTGCTTTACCTTTTAAAACTTTTTATTCCCACCATCCAAGTATTAAACTCACATTTGACAGGTTTAACCACTTGCCTACCAGGCACTTATACCCCCTTATTTACCAGGCCAATTTTCAGCTTTCAGCGCTGCCGCACTTTGATTGACAATTACGCGGTCATGCAACATTGTACCCATATGAAATTTTGATCATTTTTTTCTCACAAATAGAGCTTTCTTTTGGTGGTATTTAATCGCCACTGGGCGCTTTACTTTTTGCGCTATAAAAAAAAAAATTGCAAAAAATTTAAAAAAAAAAAGTTTCTTTGTTTCTATTATAAATTTTTTCAAACAGGTAATTTTTTCTCCTTCACTGATGTGCGTTGATGAGGCAGCACTGATGGTCACTGATAGGCGGCACTGATGGGCAATGATAGGCAGCACTAAAGGGCACTGATAGGCAGTACTAATGAGGTGGCACGGATAGGCGGCACTGATAGGCAGCACTAATGAGGTGTCACGGATAGGCAGCACTAATATGCAGCACTGATAGGCGGCACTGATAGGTGACACTGATGATGGGTACTGATAGACGGCACTGACTGGCATCACTCCTGAGCACTGACTGGTGGCACTGACTGGCACAACCGCTGGGCACTGACTGGTGGCACTGACTGGCAGCACTTCTGGGCTGCACTGGTGGGAGGCACTGGTGGGCAGCGCTGGTGGGTGGGCACAGGTGGGTGGCACTGGTGGGCACAGGTGGGTGGCACTGATGGGCACAGGTGGGTGGGCACAGGTGGGTGGCACTGCTGGGCACAGGTAGGTGGCACTTCTGGGCACAGGTGTGTGACACTGCAGAGTGGCACAGGTGGGTGCACTGCTGGGCACAGGTGGGTGATATTCTGGGCACAGGTGGGTGATCTGCTGGGCACAGGTGGGCAGAGCTAGTGGACGCACTGCTGGGCACAGGTGGGCGGAACTTGTGGGTGGCACTGCTGGGCACCGATCATCAGGGCACTGATCATCAGTGCCCTGATGATCGGTGCCGATCCCTGCTCTGACAACTGCCAGTTCTCGGCAGTACTTTCTTCACGATCTGACAGCATGAGGAAAGTGCAGCCGAGAACCGGCAATTGAATTTCCCGGTGATCAGCGTGTCATTGGACACGGCTGATCACGTGGTAAAAGGCCGCTGTGATTGGCCTTTTACCACATCACGTGATCAGCTGTGTCCGTAGGACACAGCGATCACGGAGATCGCCCAGGTGCGCGCCCCCTGGGGCGCGCAGGAGAGCGCGTTCTGGGAGGACGTCATATGACGTCATTCGGCTATCTGCAGTGGGCAACTAGTTAAATAACGCAATATCCCATTGGAAATCCTCTGCTGGCCTCTGAGTCATACACCTGCCGTCTATCGTGTTGTGCAGCTCCTCTCCTAATGATGACGTAGCCCCTCCCCACTCGTCATCACTCGGAGAGGAGCCGCACAACACGATAGACGGCAGGTGTATGACTCAGAGGCCAGCAGAGGATTTCCAATGGGATATTGCGTTATTTAAACCTGTCTAATGTGAGTTTAATACTTGGATGGTGGGAATAAAAAGTTTTAAAAGGTAAAGCACTATGTCCTCTATTTCTTCCTGCATGCGGAGTAACACAAGAAGAGGATAATTAGGAGGTCTGAGATAACAAAAGGAGTGTGTAATCCATGAGGGGATAATCAGCCACCAGAGGATACATCCATTACTCCTAAAGGGAGGATCTCCCAATTTTACCAGCAAAAGTACAGTATATGTCCAGCAGGTTCCAGGGAAAGTGAACCGAAAGCGTGTATAGCCTAATTGCAGGCATCAAAGGAGGTGAGCGCACATCTTCACTATTTGAAGGATTCACAAAAGTCACAAATTGAAGAACAAGCACCAAGTCACTATATATAAACAATTGTTTATTCAATGGGACTATTATATTGATGATATTTGGATTCATACTAATCACTACTAATTATTTATGAGCATTTGGTTATTTTTATTTATGGGGGATCATTTAAATGCGTTTTAGTTGATGGTTATTAGTTGGTTCACTATTTTTATTATATTAAATGAGGGTATTATGAATATAAATGAAATTGAGGGTATTAGTAAGTACATCATGTCACTAATAGATGATTTATGAGCACTTGGCAAAATATTTTTTTAGAGGAGTATTTCATGTGGAATTATTTTGATATTTATTTGGAGGAGATTGATTAGCTGAAATTATCTATTTAAATATTCTTTGGTATGTATACACTTTTATTAGTTATTTGTATCATAATTTGAATTAATTTAATGTTAATAATTTAATTATTATTTATTGAGAAGTATTTAGGAGCGCAACATGTATTTGTAGATATTTCCAACACAGTTGTAGTTATGTGTTTCATGTTTGTGATCCTCTAGTAATTATCACACCTGTGGCTCGCAAGTCACTCTGATTCACCTATAACTGTTTACAATTAACACACTAAATTGCAATTTGTAATTGTCCAGTTTCGGGCACACATGTCCCAAACCCTCTTCAGCCTAGGTGCACTAGGTTGTTTATTTTTGTATTACAGCATGTCAATGTAAGTCACCAATGGATCATTTTCAAAGAGACAGAAAATGGGGAAATGTGCTTGCATGCAGAGTTTTCTTTGCCTCAATATACACTTTAACCGCCTCCCACCCACCATTTAAGGAAATGACGGAAGAGCAGTGGTTCTTTTGTTCTGGGAAGGCGTCATATGCAATCCTCCAACTCTAGCTGCGCATGTGCGCCACCAGGGGCACGCTGCGTGGCGATCGGGGGTGCTCTGTGTCCCTGGGACACAGAGGATCACTGATCACAGTAAAGAGCCGATGATCTACCATGTGATCAGCTGTGTCCAATCACAGCTGATCAAATGTAAATTATTATTATTATTATTATACAGGGTTTATATAGCGCCAACAGTTTGCTCAGCGCTTTACAATATAAAGGGAGACAATACAGCAACAATACAGTTCAATACAACAGAAATAGGAGGGCCCTGCTCCTTGGAGCTTGCAATCTAGGAGGGAGGGGTTAGTGGTACAAAAGGTAATAACTGTGGGGGATGGACTGGTAGGAAGAGTAGAAGATTCCATTATTAACTGAGGGCAGGATAGACTTCCCTGAAGAGATAGGTTTTCAGAGATCACCTAAAAGTGAGCAGAGTAGGCGATAGTCTGATAAATTGGGGTAGAGAGTTCCAGAGGATGAGGGGTGCTCTGGAGAAGTCCTGGAGACGAGCATGGGAAGAGGGGACAAGAGAGCTAGAGAGCAGGAGGTCTTGTGAGGTCCAGAGAGGATGGTTTGGGTGATAGTTAGAGACAACATCGGTGATGTAATTTGGGGCAGAGTTATAAATGGCTTTATATGTTATTATTAATGTTTTGAATTTTATCCGTTGGGCAATGGGAAGCCAGTGGAGAGAATGGCAGAGAGGGGTGGCTGATACAGAACGGTTAGTAAGGTGGATGAGTCTGGCAGCAGCATTCATGATAGACTGAAGAGGGGATAGCCTGCGATGAGGTAGGCCAATGAGGAGGGAGTTACAATAGTCAAGGCGAGATATAACAAGGGAGTGAATAAGTTGCTTAGTGGTTTCCGAGGTTAAGAACGGCCGTATCTTGGAGATGTTGCGGAGGTGAAGTCTACAAGATTTGGACAGCGATTGGATTTGGGGCTGAAAGGACAGATGGGAGTCTAGGGTTACACCTAGCACCCTGGCATGAGGGGAGGGACTGATGATTGTGTTATTGATTTTGATGGAGAAGTCAGGGGAGGGGGCATGGGCTGGAGGGAATACTAAGAGCTCGGTTTTGGAAAGATTGAGTTTGAGGAAGTGGAGTGACATCCATGCTGATATGTCGCTTAGTAGGTTAGTAATGCGAGAGGAGACTGAAGGGGTGAGGTGAGGAGTAGAAAGATAGATTTGTGTGTCATCAGCATAGAGATGGTACTTAAAGCCATGGGAGTTTATCAAGTGACCAAGGGAGGAGGTGTAGATGGAAAAGAGTAGTTGCCCAAGGACGAAACCTTGAGGGACCCCTACAGAAAGAGGGAGTGAAGAGGAGGAGCCAGAGTTATAAGTAACGCTGAAGGAGCGCTGCGATAGGTAGGAGGAGAACCAGGAGAGAGCAGAGTCTCGGAGGCCAAGAGAGTGGAGTTTTTGGAGGAGGAAGGGATGGTCAACCGTATCAAAAGCTGCAGAGAGGTCGAGTAGTAAGAGTACGGAGTAGTGGCCATTGGTTTTAGCAGTTAGTAGATCATTAGTGAGTTTTAGTAGGGCATTTTCAGTGGAGTGTAGTGAGCAAAAGCCAGACTGTAAAGGGTCAAGAAGGTTGTTGTCAGTGAGGTAGCAGCTCAGGCGATTGTAGACTAGGCGTTCTAAAAGTTTAGCGGTAAATGGCAGCAGGGAGATGGGTCTTAAGTTGTCAGGTTGGTGGGGTCCAGGGAGGGCTATTTAAGTATGGGAGTGATGTGTGCATGCTTTAGAGGGGAGGGGAAGGCACTGTTAGAGAGGGAGAGATTGAAGATGTGAGTGAGGGAGCATAGGATGGAAGAAGAGGGTGACCGTAGTAGTTGTGAGGGGACAGGATCCAGGGGGCAGGTAGTGAGATGGGCTTTTGAGAAAACCTTAGTGACCTCTTCAGGAGTAGCAAGGTCAAAAGAGGAAAATGTTGAGGGAGGTTTAGTATAAGGAAATGCCGGTTATCGGCAGTCCTCTCCTTACGCTGACAGCACGTGAGGAGAGCCGGTAAGCATTCCTTAGGCATTCCTCAGAGGGGACAATCCCATGATCATCAGGGCACTGATCATCAGTGCCCTGATGATCACTGTAGCCCCATCAGTGCCACCTGTCATTGCCCATCAATGCCACATACCAGTGCCCATCAATGCCACATATCAGTGTCCATCAGTGCACATCAATGCCACATATCAGTGCCCCTCAGAGCTGTCTTTCAGCGCTGGTTATAAGTGCCAGTCAGTGTTGCCTAACAGTGCCCATCAGTGCCACCTATCAGTGCCAGCCAGTGCCACCTTAATAGGTGGACAGTCAGGTGGCCTATCAGTGCCACCTAACAGTTCCAATCAGTGCCGCCTATCAGTGCCAGCCATTGCCGCCTATCAGTGCCCATCACTGTCACCTATCAGTGCCATATATGAGTGCAGACTTTCAGTGCCCATAAGTGATGCCTGTCAATGCCCACCAGTGATGCCTGTCAATACTCATCAGTGCCACCTATCAGTGCCCATCACTGCAGCCTCATTAGTACACATCAGTGAAGGAGACAAATTACTTATTTACTAAATTTTATAATAAAAACTAAGAAAAAACTTTTTCTTTTCAAAATTATTTTTTTTAGTTTGTTTAGCAAGTAATAAAAAACCCAGTGGTGATTAAATACCACCAAAAGAATGCTCTCTCTAAAAAAATTATAAAACGTTTGTTTGGGAACAGTGTTGCATGAAATATTAGAGTATCTTGCGAGCCAAAATCAAAGGGTCACCCTAATGCACGAAACTGGACACAATATGTCCTTAATGTGGTAGGATCGCAAACACCTAACACATAACTACCAATGTGTATAATAAATATAATCCTATTGTGTTGCGCTCCTAAAAATTTACAAATGATCACTTTTCCATACCCTAAACATATGACTATATGAAGACAAGTGAAAAAATCATATATTAAATCCTTTAACCAAATATCATATATAATAATCCCTTAATTTACTGAAAAACAAATCAATTCATAATATATATCCGTGATTAAAAAATAACTAAATCCGTGATTAAAAATAACTGAATCAATATTTCATCACTTATAGTGAAAAGAAACAATATAAATCTCAAATAATTTAAATAAATATACATAAATACTTAATTAATATTGTGTGAAAACAGTGTCCCATATAACATAAAAAATATGTATAGTGACTTTTGTGCTTTAATTAATCTTCAATCTGTGATTGCATGTGAATCCGTGACTGGTTGTGAATCCTCCCATTAGTGCAGATGTAAGCTCACCTCCTTATCTGCTTATAATTAGGCTATATGCGCTTTTGGTTCTCCTCCTATGGAACCTGCTTGGTTAAGACTCTTTCCTTTTAAGATAGTGGATGTCCTTTATCACTGATTTTTTTCTCTGGGATTAATCCCTTCTCACAAGGATCCAAGTCCTCTATACTCTCCTCTCCATACGTCTAACACAGGTAACAGGATATGCAGAAAGACCATTCGGTGACCGAATGGTCTTTCTGCATATCCTGTTACCTGTGTTAGACGTATGGAGAGGAGAGTATAGAGGACTTGGATCCTCGTGAGAAGGGATTAATCCCAGAGAAAAAAATCAGTGATAAAGGACATCCACTATCTTAAAAGGAAAGAGTCTTAACCAAGCAGGTTCCATAGGAGGAGAACCAAAAGCGCATATAGCCTAATTATAGGCAGATAAGGAGGTGAGCTTACATCTGCACTAATGGGAGGATTCACAACCAGTCACGGATTCACATGCAATCACGGATTGAAGATTAATTAAAGCACAAAAGTCACTATACATATTTTTTATGTTATATGGGACACTGTTTTCACACAATATTAATTAAGTATTTATGTATATTTATTTAAATTATTTGAGATTTATATTGTTTCTTTTCACTATAAGTGATGAAATATTGATTCAGTTATTTTTAATCACGGATTTAGTTATTTTTTAATCACGGATACAGTTGTGGCCAAAATTATTCAACCCCCACTGAAATTGAGTGTTTTGGCCAGTTTGACATTGCTTTTGATCATTCAGTCATCTTGCTTACATTTACATTAAAGAGGCACTTGTAGGTCAGACAAATATAACATAACAGTTATAATGAAATAACCACAAATGTCTTTTCTGTGCTCACAGCATTATCAGTTTTATTCAACCCCCAAGTGACATTCAATCTTAGTACTTAGTACAGCATCCTTTTACAGTTATAACAGCTTTTTAAACGTGAAGCATAGCTTGACACAAGTGTCTTGCAGCGATCTACGGGTATCTTCGCCCATTCTTCATGGGCAAAGGCCTCCAGTTCAGTCACATTCTTAGGCTTGCGCACTGCAACTGCTTTCTTTAAGTCCCACCAGAGGTTCTCAATCGGATTTAAGTCTGGTGACTGCGATGGCCACTCCAAAATGTTCCAGCCTTTCCTCTGCAACCATGCTCTAGTGGACTTGGAGGTATGCTTGGGATCATTGTCCTGTTGAAAGGTCCAACGTCTCCCAAGCCTCAGGTGTGTGACGGACTGCATCACGTTTCCATCCAATATCTCCTGGTACTGAAGAGAATTCATGGTACCTTGCACACGCTGAAGCTTCCCTGTACCTGCAGAAGCAAAACAGCCCCAAAGCATGATTGACCCTCCACCATGCTTCACAGTAGGCAAGGTGTTCTTTTCATCATAGGCCTTGTTCTTCCTCCTCCAAACATAGCGTTGATCCATGGGCCCAAACAGTTCTAATTTTGTTTCATCAGTCCACAGAACACTATCCCACAACTTTTTGTGGTTTGTCCACATGGCTTTTGGCATACTGCAGTCGACTCTTCTTATTCTTTGGAGACAGCAAGGGGGTACGCCTGGGAGTTCTGGCACGGAGGCCTTCATTACGCAGTGTGCGTCTTATTGTCTGGGCTGAAACTTCTGTACCCACATCTGACAAATCTTTTCTCAGTTCCTCAGCAGTCACACGGGGACTTCTCTCCACTCTACGCTTCAGGTAGCGCACAGCAGTCGAAGTCAGCATCTTCTTTCTGCCACGACCAGTAGCGTTTCAACAGTGCCCTTTGCCTTGAATTTGCGAATGATGCTTCCTAAGGTGTCTCTTGGTATGTTTAACATCTTTGCAATCTTCTTATAGCCATTGCCCTTCCTGTGAAGAGAAATCACCTCTTCTCTTGTCTTCCTGGACCATTCTCTTGCCTTCACCATGTTTTGTAACCACACCAGTAAATGTCTAGAAGGAGCTGAGTATCACAGTCATTTTAAAGCTGCCTAATTGGTGCTTATTATGCTTGATTGCTGCTCGGTGACATCCACAGGTGTTTTTCAATACCTGATGGAAAGCACCTGTATGAAACCTCTGTTCTTCAGAGTGGTAGTCTTTAAGGGGTTGAATAATTGTGGCAATGAAGAAACCACATAAGAACCATTTACTACTGTATTACATAAACAATTGATGTCATTTTAGTTGCATTTGGGTAGTTACAACGTCCTTGTAGGATTTGATTCTGAATACAATTCCAAATGTACACTATAGTCCCTAAACCCCTTTACAGCATTGGGGGTTGAATATTTTGGCCACAACTGTATATATTATGAATTGATTTGTTTTTCAGTAAATTAAGGGATTGGTTAAAGGATTTAATATATGATTTTTTCACTTGTCTTCATATAGTCATATGTTTAGGGTATGGAAAAGTGATCATTTGTAAATTTTTAGGAGCGCAACACAATAGGATTATATTAACAGTGTTGCATGACTGCGCAATTGTCATTCATAGTGTGACAGCACTGAAACTGAAAATTGGTCTGGGCAGTAAGGGGACAAAACTGCCCGGTAGGCAATTAGTTAAAGCTAAACTCTGAGAAACTTAATGCTTTACCCACACTGCAAGGGTCAACTTTTTTTTAGTCTAGGGCTGCGAAAAGCACTTTTTAGTTACCTGATCCTCCATTCCCTTGGCATGCAGCACTCCCCCATGCTCCTGTGGTGGACGATCCCTTGGCAGCCTTATGTCCATCCTGGATGCCAGGACCTAAGACTGCTGGAGTATAGGGGAAAAGAGGCTGGGGAGTGGAGGATCAGGGAAAATAGATCTACTTTTCTATACCCCTAGACCTGAATTATTATACAGGATTTCTTATACAAGATTTATATAGCGCCAGCGGTTTGCTCAGCGCTTTACATTATAGTGGGAGACAATACAGTAAACAATACAGCTCAATACAAGAGGGATTTGAGGGCCCTGCTCCTTGGAGCTTACAATCTAAGATGATCAGTTAACTTTTGCAGTGCAGGTGCAGGTGAAGCCCCAATGCAAGGGAGAATTTTCAGGTTTTCTGGAGTAAGCTTTACAGTTATTAGCTTTCAAAATGCCACTGATTCACATTAAGAATATACAGTAACTATCTTCATCTAGAGATTTCCAAGTATACTTTCTGTATTGTTCAATTGCTCTCAAAAACTTCTACTGTCCTATGTTAAAATGTCATCCTTCAGTTACTTCTGTATGAGGCTTGTTCTCAAAATGCATGCACTGAAAGAAGGCAGGGAACATGACTGAGTGTGTTCTGTATGGGTAGTTTTAATGATACCGAAGATCTTTAAATATGGGTTAGGTCATATTACCATTCACATTATTATACAAACAAATTACTGAAGAATGTATGTCACCACTTACAAACCTACAGCATCTCATATCAAGTATGCCTATAAAAATAACATTTGAGATTTCACAGGAAAAGTGAAGCACTTAAGGGATCCTCCTATTAGCTTAGAAACAATTGAGGGGAAAATGGTACCACTTGAAAGTCACATGTTTAAACCCAAGGACCACTGTGTGGCCAAATGACAATTGCTTTCCGATTCTAGAAAATGGACACAAAGCAGGGGTGGTCTGTGCTAGAGCTAACTGTGTGGGTTTTTGAATGCCATCAGAAAAAGAAAATGGCTGATTAAAAAAGAAACGAACATGTCAGTGATAAAGAAATTGAAGACATTTTTGATATTGAGAGTATTAAATACTAACAAATATCTTCACCTATAAACAGTGCACAATCTTTCACAACAAGCACATTAAATATTTCTAAAATTTATACAGTGTCTGATAAAATCACTCTAAAATAATTCTAACTCCTTAAAAAGCATATAACATTTGAATTCTGTCAACACATACAGATTATGGCCACACCTAATACACATACTGTATAAACAGAAACTCATCAAGGAAAAATGCTATTGGGGCTAATTTAGAAAATTGGCATGATAAGGTCATTATTGCTATAAAACCAAGTT